ACACACACACACACACACACACACACATATATATACATATATATAATATACATGTACATGTTCCGCGCAATTTACCAATCTGCGTAAGATTGCACTGCGCGTTTTTACGATCATATAATTGCGCGGCCATCTTAAGATTGCTCTGTGCGTTTTAACGATGGTATCATAGCGATAATCTGAAGATTGCGCTAATATTTTATACATGTGTATTTTTGAATATAAAAAAACCACTTCCATCTTTATTCTTTACTCACATCAAGGAACATTCACATACATTTTCAAAAGTGTAAAAACATACAAATTAAAATTAAAATTAAATTATTATTTCAAAAATATATAATAAATCTTAAGTACTTGGTGAACTTTGAGTATGATACCTGGCATTGTATCCATCTTGTGAGCTCTTCTGTTTTATATGTAAATTTTAATTTTAATATTCATATTTTTTACACTTTTGAAAATGTTTGTGAATATTTTTTAATGGACATAAAAGAAGTTGAAGACCCTAAAAAAATAGAAAGAAATTGTCCAAAGGGCGGAATAATGTCTGTTCCTTCTATTTCATTATTTTGATGAGCCCCAGATTACATCAAATTACCACACGTTGTTTTTCACCAGTATTTGTACTATCTTTCTAATCTCTCGTTTTTCTGCGTTGCATTTCCGCGAGGCTGCTCCAAAGTCGGCGGCCAATCTTCCGCTATGGATATCTGTGGCGATCGTAGGTGTTATCGGGACGGTTTACACCACCATTGGAGGTATCAAGAGCGTCTTCTGGACGGACGTATTCCAGGCAATCATTATTTTCATAGGGATTTTCGCCATCATTGTTAAAGGTCAGTGATTTTAAAACAACTTTGTTGGTGGTTGATGAGTGCTCTGGCGTGGTTTGCTCTTTCTTTTTTAATTGTCAAACATACATCGTATTGACCTTTAAATATTTACCCCTTTTCTTTGTATATTATTCTCTAGTTACAACTCTTGTTTTCGGCATTTTTATGACCTATTTTTGTTGCAAAGATCCAGGTTTTTCTTGAACAAGTGTCTTAGAAAGTTACTGAAGATCAGATGAACAGATATGGTCTCCAACAAGGAAGTGTTAAGGAAAATAAGACAGATCCCGGTCAGAGATGAGGTAGGAAGAAGGCGGTGGCGATGGATTGGACATACTCTCAGGAAGTCAGGCATATGCATAACAAAGAAAGTGTTGGATTGGACTCCACAGGGTTAAAGATCAAGGGGAAGACCGCGTGGAACCTGTAGAAAAACCCACAGATATTGATGTACAGAAAAGTGGGAAAACATGGAATAGCATCAAGAGGCTAGCCCAGGATAGAGAAAAGTGGAACGTGTTTGCTTGTGGCCTATACCCTGGTGCAGGGTGAGAAAGGTAATGATGATGATTTTTGTTGCAGGAGCGGTAAAACTTTTTCTTAAAGTCACAAAAACTATATCAGACGATAATAGAAACCTTTTGTGGTGGGTTGTTCCAAAGATAGTACACAACATGATTCACTCTCTAAGAAAAGAGTTTTCGAAATTCACCTTTTTTACATGTTTTGTTTCCTTTCTCAAATATAATTCTTATCCGAAAATTCTCTGCTCATACTTTTTGCATACAAGATGCTTCCTCCTTAAGAATTGTAACAATAATGGAAAAAATATTATACCTGTTGATCTCCATTTTGCAGACATTTTGTGTGTGTCGAATAATTCAAGGATCTTATCTTTTAGTCTACTTTCTTTGGTTGTGCTATCGGAAGCAGTAGTTTTCATGTTCAGGACAGGTGCTAGGGGAGTTATTCCTAGAGGAGCCAGATCATGGTCTGGCTGTACCTAAAAAACAAAAAACAACCTCGTCATACTGTGTCATCTAAAGTGGACAAATATAGTTTAATGAATGCAGTCATATGAATCGAATTGCGCAGATTCGTAAAGAAGTTTCGACTTATTTCTAAAATTATACAAACGGTAAAAAATATATATTTTAATGACATATAGACATCTTGGCCTAAAAGGAGTAGATTGGTTTAAGTTAGTGTGTTTAAATGCCTTATGATATTTTTTATACAAAACCAAGGGAGATAACAGGGCATTTAATATTGAGCTTTTTACAAGATACAATTCTAGTTGACTAAACGTTTTAAATAACCACCCATAACATACCTCAGAACCTCTTCGAGCTCAACAGCCTCCAAACATAATCTCGCCAGACTCTATACTTGTTGATAGAAGGGCAATAACTGCAGAATTTATTTGAAATAAAATTTCCAAAAGCACAAATTGAATAACCTGCCTTTAACGGTATGTCAGAGCCCTTGGTTTTGTTTGATTTATGGTTGTTAGATATACAATCGATACCCCCCCCCCACACACACACACACACACACACACACACACACACATACACACACTTCTGAAAAAAAGGAGAAGCTTAATTATTTCTAAACTCAGACGTGTATCCCACTCTAACGGTTCATCAAACAGCTCAAAAGTAATAAAAAAGGACATACTATGTCTAGGTTTAGCTCACACTCTGTCAGAACAAGTGTGCATCCCTTTATAAAGAAGACATAACCAGAATTCTTTCTGCATGCCTATGTCATCTCTTAATATGACTTTTATACCGCTAATTGCAGCGCCGTAAAACCCTATACTAAACAAACAAAAAACAATACCTCAGAACCTCTGCAGCCTTTCTACTGCTACTCCTTGGCTCCTCCTAACTGCTGTCTTTCTGCCACACCCCTGATCTTCTGGTAGGAAAGATCTACACCTAGCCTTCTCAGACAAGGGCGAAAAATCTCGGAGGGCCCGTGTGCAAGTTGCGCACGTTAAAGATCCCTTGGTGCTCTAAAATCGATAAGAGTAGGCTTCGGCCACCACCCGGGCAAAATTCAAAATTTCCTACCAACGAAAAATCATGCTCTGATTGGTTAATTATTCTATTCCTAGTTCTAGTATTGGGTTTTTTTTAGTTTTCTTTTTTGCCATGTGGAATCCAGACTAAAAAGGTTTTAAAAAGATGTAGACCTAGATCTAGATCTTTTTGTATACAAATAAATGTTTTGCAGCACATACGTTGTAATCTTCTAGATTCTATATCTAGATCTAGATACCT